GCCACCTCCTCTTTAAGACGGAGAAAAGAGGAGTCAGGACTTACTTTAACTCCTTAACCTGTTTTCGTCCGCTTTCTAATCCTCGAACATTTTCCATGTACCTTCCCTTCCAAAATGCTCAAGGTGTAATGAATTAACATCTACTGGTCCACCGGTCTAACGTTCTGTCCGTATATATTTATCAATATAATCATTCCCGGGGCAAAGGGTCGTAGGGTAAAAGCTCGCGGCCACTCAATAGCTGAAGTAGAGTGCGAGATGGACGGAGGAACGAGACGTCGACAGTCTGACTCGTCACTGGTCGTGACAGTACGTTTCACGTCGTTCTAATAAAGTCCAACCAAACCATTACCATGTTTTTTTTGGTTACAGTTGTTGTTTACAGGAATGGTAAACTTTTAGGGAATATCCTGAGTCTTCAAGACAATTGTATGAATCCTTACTTTAGAACGACTAACTTGTCGAACCCACCCATTAGGTACCTGGCCCGGTCCGAGGGAAGCCCCTTTAGGGTTCTTCCAAGTCTCTATGACGAGAAGAGAGATGTCAGGAATTGTCTTTTCCTGCAACTGTCCTCCCACTTCTTAGACTATTCGAGTTACTGACTTTGTGTAAGGTGTAAGTGTTACTTACCGACCAAAAAAAAAAACAACGACTTACCCGTCTGGCTGCAAGTGTGTGGTAGGACCCCGGAGTAAATAATTTGCCACGCATGCGGTTTTTTTACCCGCATGGTGGTCAAAGATGGAGTTTACAAACGCCTAAATAATTTTATGATTGGAACTGCCCCCTTTTGCTACGCCAGGAGGTGCGGTTCTTGAGATTGGCTACCAATGCGGTGATTCGTGTTTGTGGCCCTCTCTGCTCCTTTGACGTCCTGTGGAACCGTAGATCTTCCTTCTTACCCTCTTTTATAGCACTTTATTGAATGGTATTTATTTAACAATGGAGAGTAAATAGTATATACTTTATTAAGTAAAAAGTTGTACTAATTTCCGGTTTAGGAATTTACTAAATTGGCTTTGTCGGACAAACTCTGAGGAAGTCTCGTGGGTGTTTTTTGTTGTTTGTAACCTCCTTTTTTATTTATGCCCGTACATGTTTTTGTTTAAGTTCTAAGGTCAGTAGTACTGAGGTGGGGAGGCTCCCTAAGGGGGCTTGGTAAAGAATCCTAAAGAGTAGTTCACCCCCCAAGAGGACCAGGGGCCATGGTTTTTGTGTGACGGAATCTCCCTTCCCGATAAACATAAAAAAAACAGTAATTGGAAAAGCCTGGTGAAATATAAATAAATACAAACACTGCTAGGTTGGAGGTACGACGAATCGAGACCAAGTTTGACCTAGGGTGGGTTTTGTTATAAATAAATAGGGTGGAGGGGTTTTATTGGGTTTTAGACTGTGCCCACACTCTACCAGAAAAAATCGACAAGACAGCAATAAAGGACGCTAGAAGAGGTAACGTCAGCAAGTTTTACTTACTTACTTTCCTGAAAGAGAAACTGATAAATATCCGTTGTAATACCCGCCAATTGCCACTTTCGGGTCGGGTTGTCGACGAGGGCGTAAAGAACAGCCCAACACTAAATTTTTTTCCCCTTTGGGCCCATCCTGCCCGGCATAGCGTGAAAGGCAGCGGCCCATGGCCGTTACAAACCACTTAGTCTTTTACAGCCTTTTACATACCTGGATAAAAAACGAAACATGATGCATTCCCGTTGGAAGGTGGCACCTTAAGATGCGTTTCCGCAATATCTACCTCCGGGTCTTTTGTAAACCGTTCCTGGTTGTCTGGGGTGGTGGGGCTCTGCAGTCTGTTACCTCTAGGGCGGTACCCGATGGGACAAACGACAAAAATGGCCTATTCTGCCGTCCTCCTTCTGAATTCGCACACAGGGACCACGCACCAGATCAAACTCCGACACTTTAGCACAAAGCTTAGAGCCGGAATGGCCAAAGAAGCCTTTCAGTCAGAGACCTATAAGTTCAACAACTACTAGCGGTCTCGATCATGCCCAAGAGTTGCCTGGATATACAATAGTAGCTACAGGAGCCCCCTTCGCACGCGCCTCGCGCGCCATGGGACTAAGGCGGTATCAGGGGCCCTTGATCTACCTGATATAACCGGCGGTCTTGGCACTCAAGTAGTCCCTCACTTCGATTACACTCCTACACCCCCAGATACTATTTGCTATTACCACGTTAGATTACTATACACCTCCTAAGAGGCCCTGCAGGGGAGTAAACCGTGGAGTACCGCCATCGGCCCACGGAAGAGCGAGGTCACCTTCCTTAGTTCCGGTTAAGTCCTGGGTCGTAAGAGCGGAGGTCGACGACGACGGCCGAATGTTCGTCTTTGACCTTGAGCCTGGTCTGGCCACCTGGCCTCCATCCCCCAAAAAAAAAAATGTTGGCCACCTCACCTCCTCAGCCTTGAGTCGAGCGTCCGTGACAAGACTTTGATGCTTCTCACACACAAATCCTCCTGCTTTTGTAGTTGGTGTGTCTGTGCAGTTAAACGATACGTAACCCCTTTTACGTAGCTACTGCCACATGGCTTCAATGTACTGCTGTAGGGCTTAGTGTTCGGCGGGCCCCACTATTTTGTTCGCCTCCACGAAGTGGTTTCGACTATTCTCCGTGATAGCACGTTGTACTCCACCTCTAACCTCCTCATGGTCGCTTCAGCTTCCATACGAAAAGGCCCTCTCCCGAAGTCGTCACGTTTCTCTTTTTATGTTCTGTTCCACCTCAAGACTGAAGTTCCCGACTTGTGGGCTTCCGTAACCAACCGCCCTGATTTTGTTACCTGCTCTGAACGTTTCCTCGTCTCGCCCCCCACGACGCCCCTGACAGACGCACCGTGTAGAGAATGTGTTAGCAAACAAGGTACAGGGTGTTTCTGTTACACTATGGTGGGTCGTAGTTGACCCCTGATAGCGGGTCTCCGGGAGTGGGAGGTAGTATTACTTCACGAGAACTTACACGAATCTTTTAATTACCACCTTTCAAGTCCTTTGGGCCGTAGAATGGCAGACTTTTTTTTTTTCCCTTTACTGGTACTTTTCGGCAGTGAGGAAGTACCTTTGTGTCGGGCTACAAGTTTGACTCTTTCAATGGCCACGCGGTTCCACCCTCACCTCGCGTGGCCTCTGTTGGGCAAGTAACGTCTGACATACAAATACACCCCTTTACTCGTCACGTATGTAATAAACTCTATTAAAGTTTGAACCTGAAGTAAATCCCTGTAAAGCTCGGTCTCCACATCTCGATAAACAATTCGCGGCCTAAGCGTTTTTGTCCTCTCAGACACTTGGTCATACGGGAACTGGATACTTGAGTACAGGCACTGGAGAGTGTGTAAATTCTGTTTTTATATGTCTAGTTTAGGTCGGAAACCTACACTTGACTGACCTAGATAAATTTCTCCCTTAAATGTTTACTAATTATTTAATGAACAATATAAGGTAAGGATTAAGAACAAAAAAAAATTTCTGTTTAGAAGTAACATAATAGGGTCACACACCTGAAGTGTAGACGAAAGGTACGTCGTGACAAACTCTTTGGGTCTATGTACACTAAAATTACATCAAATATATTTCGTATATATAAGCTGGAAATGACACGCCAAATATGGTACTCACGCCTATCCTTCGTAGGAGTTACAGCCCGCAGGGGGTCTCACCTTAAGAAGAAAAGTGTTGCCCCCGGGGGGGGGATCCACTTACGGTCCACCTACTTAAACTGGAACACCGGCTTCTTGGACCTTACGACGCGTGTCCATGAGGAGTGACCGCTCCATGGATTACCCTACAGCTTTCCAACAGCAACATTTAATTCCTAAGTAAGTTAACCCAACCTTTCAAGCTCATATTGTCTTTGAAAAGATACAACAATACTATACGTATGTGCTTGACTACAATCTGCCACCTGGTCACTACAATTAGTTCATGTTGTAACTTGTGAGACCTGCTTCCTTCAGGCAATACGTTTCTAACATCTTAGCCTGTCTTTCCTTAATTCTCCATTTCTTCAGGACTGAGGAGAAAAGAGCAGATTCTCCTCCACCGAGCTGTGTGTCCATGAAGAGTGACCACTCCATGGACTATCCTGTGGCTTTCAAACGGCAAGATGCTATTCCTACGTAAGTTAACCGGACCTTTGAGCTCATATTGTCTTTGAAAAGATACAACAATACTATACGTATGTGCTTGACTACAATCTGCCACCTGGTCACTACAATTAGTTAATGTTGTAACTAGTAAAACCTTCTTCCATGTACCTTTTACAAGCTCCTAATACTTTCGCCTGTCTTTTGTCAATTCTCCATTTCATTCAGGACTGAGGAGAAAAGAGCAGATTCTCCTGCACCGAGCTGTGTGTCCATGAGGAGTGACCGCTCCATGGATTACCCTATGGCTTTCAAGTAAGTAAACTGAACCTTTTGAGTTTAAAAAGTCTTAGAAAAGATACAACTACTGTATGTGGGCTTGCATACAGTCTGACACCTCGTGGCTACGATTAGTTAATGTTGTAACACCATCTCTCTTTTCCTGATAATTCTACCTGTCTTTTATCAAATCACCTTTTTTCAGGACTGAAGCGAAAAAGGGAGATTCTCCTTCATCGAGCTGTGTGTCCATGAAGAGCGACCGCTCCATGGATTACCCTACAGCTTTCCAACAGCAACATTCAATTCCTCAGTAAGTTAACCGGACCTTTTGAGCTCATATTGTCTTAGAAAGGATACAACAACACTATATATGCTTGCCTACGGTCTGAGACCTGGTGGCTACGATTAGTTAATGTTCTAACTTGTAACTAGGGATGTCCCGATCACCTTTTTTTGCTCCTGATCCGATTCCGATCATTTGATTTTGACAATCTGCCGATACCGATTTTTCCCGATCCGATCTTTATGCAATGCATTAAGAGAAAAAAAAGGTAACAGATAACGGCTGGTCATCCAACGCGATGAATTCAGCTATCTTGGCTGTTATTTTTTTGGCCTTTTCACTGTTCTGGGGCACTTTCTCTTTCCTTTTAAAAGTCTCTGCCTTGCAAACATTGCATCTGGCTGTTACACTGCCTTCACTTTCAATGTTATAATACTTCCAAACTCCTGACCGTTTCTCTGTCCCGATTCCCGAGTCACCAGCTGAACGTAGCCTCTCGTTAGCTTACTGCTATTATTAGACACTGCCCACTCTGTTGCCAGATTTGAGAGAAATAAGCAGCCAGGTCTATGAAACCAANCAAGCCCAAAAGAAGCAACACATACATGATGTTGTGTAATTTTAAACCAAAACTAAGGCCTTAGGATGAATTTAAGACGTGAACATGGTCATTTTTGTTTTGTAACATTAAATAAAATAAATTTAAAAAAAATCCTGATCCCCGATCCGATTTTTGAAAATCAAGTGATCGGCTCCGATCCCCGATCACGTGATCGGATCGGGACATCTCTACACTTAACCAATAAAAAAATACTCACGGACCACCTAACTCAACAAATATCCAAAATCGCATCGTTTTTCTAGAACAGATTACAAATCGCCTGAAAATTGGTACAAAAAAGTGGCAACATGTGTGATGAAGGTGTTGCGCTGGGCTATATCATGCAGTCGAAAATTAAACTTAAGCTCGCTCCATTGCGGAGATATTCCCGCGAGAGTGCGGGAAACTTAAATGTATTTATTCATTTCAAATGTGAAATTTTATCAATGAAATCACGGACCACTATGGGGCGCTCACAGACCACCAGTGGTCCACGGACCACACTTTGAGAAGCACTGCTTTAGAGCAATGGGAGGTTTGGAAACGTTGAAAAACAACTATGATCTTTTACTTAAAAGTCAAATGTTTTTAGGGTTATGCTGTTGTCTCACAACCCATTCAGGATTCAAGGCTTGTATTGTCATGTGTGCATAGCTGCAGTGTAGATATGTCAATGAAAAGCTTAGGTCACAGGCTCCTCCAACAGTGCAGCACAATAAAACAGAGTTGGAGAGGAGCCAAAGACACGGCAGCCATCATCACCGGAAACACTTTAATTTATAGCTGTTCTAAACATGCAATACTATATTTAGAAACCTTTGATTTGACAAAAGGGGAACATTTGCTCACTGCTACACATGAGTTTTTCCAGCTATGTGTTTGAGATAATGAAAGAACAGCTCATAGAGTCCTCTCCTCTATGTTCAAGTACAAGCATCCCGGCAAATTGATTTCTCTGATTATTTGACTGTTTAATCCACTACCAAGTCATACCGCTGCTTTCATAAACACAAAGCAGACAGGTTGTCAAGTGTTGTGTTATTCTGTTGTCCAGTGTTTGCAGGCGGCTGTGAGGTCCTGGAGCCGTCCGGCCTGGTGTCTCCCAGCAGCACGGTGAGGAGCCTCACCAAAGAGCTGCAGCATTCCTTGGATCTGGCCAGCGCCATCAGTGGAGAAAAAGTGGTCACAGCGCAGGTCAGTGAGGCCGCAAAACTGAGCGAATATTCCTCCAGAAAAACGTTTTTTATTATTATTTTAAATTTTTCTTTCAGTTACAATAAAGCAAAGACATACACAGTATACAGTAAGTAGGTGCCCGAACCTTTACATCAGGGCTATTCAATTAGTTTGGAATGGGGGCCGGTTGATGAAAATGATCCAAAGCAAGGGGCCGGGAAAAAGATGGCTTGGAATATGAGCCAATCATATTAAGAGCTTCAGATACAGTAAATACTACAACAGCATAGTGGAGTGCATATATTGTGTTTAATTCAATCAAACAACATAGCCCCAAGGCCTCTAAATGGCAAGTTCAGAACTCAGTAGACCTACATGTGAAGCTCATTTAACCATCAACATCATTTAATTTAATTTAGGTGAAATGATCTAATCATTCACACAGAGATGCAATAAATGAGAGGAGTTGTCACTACAGTAGCTAGCTGGTGGGTTCGAAACCCGAGCCCGCCAAAGTTTTTAGGCAATGTCTTCCCCTCTATCTCTCAATTTAACACCCTCTCTGGAATAAAGGCACTCTGGCCCAAAAACAAATTATTTAAAAAAAAAATTCATAAAAATAAAAAGTAGATTACTTTTTAACATAAGATAAGATGAACCTTTATTAATCCCCGAGGGGAAATTCAGTTGTACAAAGCAGCAACAGGGTAAGCGTGAAAAAAACATTACAGCAAAGATTCGCACAGATCAATAAAATCTAAAATAAATAATAAATAAAATAAAATCAAGGACAAAATAATAATGATAATAATAATAAAAGACTATGAAAATGAAAATAGGAGATGAATAAAAATAAGAGTAAAATAACTGTCAGTATATATACATATTATTACATATACATTATCATCACATACATACACATACATACACACACACACACAAACACATACATACACACACACATACATCACACATTACATATATTATTACATTTTACTCAAAGGGCCAGTAAATATCACCCCGGGGCCAGATTTGGCCCGCGGGCCGCCAATTGAATAGCCCTGCTTTACATGGTGTACAAGAAAAGAAAAAAAAGCTGGGTATTACATTGACAATTCCTGAGAATAGTCTAAAGCTGCCAGTCGACAGCATCGTAGACATAAACAAAAGGCCAAGGGTAACCCACTAGCAACAAAACAAAACAAAATACCGAAAGGAGGCAAAGAGAAAGAAAAAAGAACATAAAACCTGGGGATGGATTGCCAAACATCAGACACAATTAAGAATTACGCAGTCTTTACAGAGTAAGTCAAATACAAGCAGCAGCAGAGCTCTTTAATTAAATTGTGAATTATCCTCCAGCAATGTCAAAAACGGCTTCCGCACCTTAATGAAGCAATCCTGTGAATTCAGTCTGTTGAAGTGAATTTGCTCCATCCTCAAAATGAAACTTTATTTGCACAATTTCACCATTGCTTTGTTTTTTCAGGAAAATGAGGATGGCCGAGCCTCGTCTGACGACGGAGGAGAAACTCCAGGCTCCCAGCGGCCACGTTCCAACTCTGGTAGAGAACTGACAGATGAAGTAAGACTCCCTCTCTGTTTGTTGTTACTGCCACATTTTTCAACTTCAATACGAGCCATAACTCAACCTCTGGCACATTCCTTATACCTTATCTTCAAACAGGAAATCCTTGCCAGTGTGATGATCAAGAATTTGGACACTGGAGAAGAGATCCCTTTAATCCAGGCAGAGGAGAAACTTCCTGCAGCGATAAACCCCCTCACTCTGCACATCATGAGGAGGACCAAGGAGTACATTTCGTAAGCAGAGAATAATATTTCAGTTGCAGTAATGTCATATTTTTATTGGCAAGAGACGCCAGAATCATATCTGTATCTTTCTCAGCACTGTTCCATGTAGTTATTTTGTGAGGAAAATAATGTGTTTTAAAGAATAAACAGTGCTTTATCAAGTATAAAAACATGTGTATTCAAAAACTGGAAAGTTTATGCAATAGGAATTATTTCCTATTAATAATAAGACTTTTCCGTAAAAAAGGGAAAAGGCTTTTTGATATAAGAAACATCCTTATCATAGCACTGCCTTTTTCTTGTAGCAATTTCCCGCCACTCAAAGCCTTTTTTAAGCTAACGGTCATTTCTTTTTTTAAATGTTCCTCTCAGGAATGATGCAGCGCAGTCGGATGACGATGACAAGGCTCAGGCTCCTCTGGTGGACACAGATGGAGGAAAACTCAAACAGAAAACGTAAGGACTTATCGTAGCCTGTTCCTTGAATTGATGTTCTTCCCCTTCTCACCACGTGATCAAATATAGATTGTAATTTTTTTATGTCCCTTTTTATTTATAACCAGGACCCAGTTTAAAAAGTTCCTGGGCAAGTCTGTGAAGAAGGCCAAGCATCTGGCTGAGGAATACGGAGAGAAGGCAGTCAACAAAGTGAAAAGTGTGCGAGATGAAGGTAAAAGAACACAACTATCAGAAGTAATTGTGCTTATAGTTAGATTTCAGGAAAACACTTCTTGTGGTTTTTTTGTGGAAAAGTACCTACCGGTATATTCTTACTGCTCCAAGCTACATGTTAAAGTTAGGGTTTCCGTTAGCCGGTAATTAACGGTTTTTAGCTGGTAAAATTGAATAAAAACCGGTAAATTCATAACCTGGCGGTCAAAATGTCCAATGCTCCGATCGATTGGCCGCCGGTCATTATCGGCCGATATTCACTCTTAATAGTTTGATCTGTGCTCTCTATAAAGGCCGATCAGGAGAGCTGGATCTGATCGATATGGACATAAATGCGAGTGAAGTATAACCGGAGGCGGGAGAGGGATCAGATCAGCTGCTGCATGATCACCTGAAGCTCCGCCCACTGTTTAGCGCGCTGCATGAGAAACTGACGGGCTGTCAGGAGAGAGAGGGAGAGAGGAAAAGAGAGGATCCGTTTCTCCCGTTATTATTCAAAGTGAATGTAAACTTTGAATAATGTACTTCATCTACGACAAGTAGTTTATTTGAATGTAATAATTATGTTTTTTTTTTTTTTGTGGAATCATTTATTGAAAAATGAATCTGAAATGTTCGATCTGTTACGATTATAAACTGAAGCAATATAAAAATGACTCCCATTAACTGAGTTTTAAACATAAGCCTATCCGGTCATAGTCCGGTAATTACCTGCTAACGGAAACTCTGCTACACAATTCTTGTTATTATTATTGAAACATGGCCGGTAAGTTTCAAATTTGTCCGTTAAAATAAATTCTGTTCGGACATTTGACCGGCGAGATAAAATCCTAGCGGAAACCCTGGTTAAAGTATATAGTGATTTTAAACTCTATGTGCATTTTTTATAATAGTGGTTCTTTTTTTTGTTTTAAATTACAAGTGGAAGGAGAACAGAATTCAGGGTAAAGATAAGTGCAGGCAGGGGAAGAGACTTTGTTGAGAAGGCCATTTATAAACGGATGTGGGCTTTGAGAATATTGAAGGACAAATAATTCACTTTGCCGCTGTCATTAACATTAGTGGCAACATTAAAATATGTGCACTACTGAATCATCAAAAACCACATATAAATAACTCAACCAACTTTGCTTCACCAAGCAGATTGAGCAGGGCATTTATTTCCCTTTGCTTAGTGATCTCGCGTATCTACATGTCTTCCCTGTGAGGATATTTATCAGAACATTTTCCAATACGTTAGCACGATTTGACATGCATCCCTGAGAAATGTTTCACTGTTGAGTGTGAGGCTATTAAATCTGGAACAAGCTCTACTTAATCATGAAAATGGAAACAGTTAACACCGAACATTTGTTAAAAATCTGAGGATAAATGTTGCTTCTAAAGAGAACATCCATTTGAAAGGATTTTCCAATGTCTGCACATGCGTATGAGATATTAGCGCTCCTGCTGCTGTGAAGGGTTTGATAACCTGAGTTATGTTTTTTGTTTCGGCTCAGTGTTCCACACAGACCAGGACGATCCGTCATCGAGTGACGATGAGGGCATGCCTTACACCCGGCCCGCCAAGTTCAAGGCAGCACACAGCTTCAAGGGCCCCTTTGACTTTGATCAGATTAAGGTTGTGCAGGACCTCAGTGGAGAGCACACGGTAAGACCATCTTCATTTACAATGCTTAAAGAAGTTTCCCAGTTAAAGGTCACCTATTATGAAAAATCCACTTTTTCATGTCTTTTATACATCAACATGTGTCCCCTCTGTGTAAAGAGACTCTGAAAGTGTCAGGAAAAAAGATTCTCTCTCTTTTTGTCCTGATCCATTTATATAAAAACCTGTCTGAAAATGAGCTGATCAGATTTTGGCCACTTTATGATGTCATAACGATGTTTTGGCTTGTGTAACCATTAGGCCAATCCCAACCAAGGTAAACCCCCCCCCCCACCTTATCACCTGAATCTCCTCCTGGGCACCAATAGGCGCGTTCACACCGGGAGTCTTTACCCCGGTACTTTTTCCCGTTTAGTTCTGTTAGGTACCCCTATTGTCTCGTTCACACGAAAAGAGTACTTAGTGCGGGAAACTTTGTTACCCCCATTTTTAGTTGCCTGCACAGAGAGGGTGGTACTCTCCTTGGTACCCAAAAGTACCAATTTGTATTGGCTGGGGCGAATTGCAAACCACGGCCCGTAAACTCTGAAAAGGTTTGTGAAGCCGCCATTTTATTTTGTGGCATTAGCTTATTAGCATGTATCCCCAGCGCACCCAACAGCGAGGATAATAACTTATGGCAACACAAAAGGAAAATATAGAGTGAGCGGTGGAGATGAGGAGGGTGTCGGCGTTTCTGGGTGATTTACTCGGAGGGCTTCCAGTAGAAGCTGCTGGGAGTTCCCAGCAGCTTTCTACTGAAGCCAGTCCCCAACTCCGGGGACTTCCGCCGCGGACTTCGGGTGGCAGTATACGCCGGTATAGTACTCCGGTGTGGAACGCGATTGGTTACTTTAGTTGCCCTGGGTACTAAGTTGCCGGGGGCACTAAGTGGCCAGCACTAAGTCGGCAAAGTACTTTGGTGGTGAAAGCGCTATTGTGTTCTTTTTAACCACATATCTCTTCAGAGGGGCGTGGGGAGTGGCTCCTTATTTTCATTCTAAAGTAACAGACAGAGAATCGCACTTTTGATAACCGTGGGCTGAAACCAGAGGGGATTTATGGGATGCCTGCGGGGCAATGATCTGTTTTGGTGTTTGGAGCCAAACACTTCAGAGGACATGATTTGTATACAATGAGACTTTATAATATATTGGATGAAAAGGAGTATATAGGGGACCTTTCAGGCTAGTATTACAGCCTCTTGTGGTTCTTCCCCTCAGGGGGGCCGTGTGGACGATGAGTTCTCTCACTGCGGAGGCTGCTGGGCCCACAGTCCGGCCAGGACAATGTGGTTCGCATCTGGGTCTTGAAGACTGCTTTTGACTACTTTCATAATATGAGAATGAAGTAACAACACTGAAGGTAAGGTTTTCTTTGTTGTGGTATGATGATATGATACGTTTAGATTTGGCCAGCTTTAGCTGCAGTAAGATGCTTTCTGATTGGTTCCTGCAGGTCGAGTTTTCCACCGTCTCCTTCTCAGGAAAGTTATGCTCCTCTAAATCTGACGACCACCTGGTGAGTGATGAAATTAATAATTACCTTTTACTTACGGTTATTTTAGTGTTAGAAGAAATATAAAAATCAGTGGATCAAATTCAGAATTGTATTTATTGCCAAATAGGTTTCACAAACAAGGCTCTTCGGTGTTATAATATGAATAAATAAACACAGTAAACATAAATGAAAGTAATATTAAAAACATTGAAATAAGTTAAAGAAAAATGTGTCACAAACTATTTACTTTTTTTTACAAGATGTATAAAAACAAAAAGAAAATACATAAGTTTATGATAAATTACAAAAAGCTGTGCAGTCTATTTTAAGAAATGGAATTCTTTCCCTTTTTAGAAATAGTGCAAGGTGTATTTTTTACAGTTTTGTTGTTGTTTTGTTGTTGTCTTAGGCAAGTTGTGCTCCAGAGGCCCAGAACAGAAGATAGAAACGCCCCTTTCCGTCAATTCCTTCTGCAAGTATAAAGGTCACACGGCGGGATCTTTTGGACTTGTCCTGGTCAAAGGTAAATGAATAAGTAACAGACATGATAATATCAGTGATGTTCTTACTGCCCTCTTCATCCTCTTTCATCCTTCGTCTTCATCTTTGTACATGGGAAAAACACTGAAATGATTCATCCTGTATCTCAAATGCTCTGGACAGGTTCTTACACTGGCTGGCAGATTTCTATGTGCTCTGTCCTTACATGTTCAATATAGTGTCAATAGTAAGGATGTAACCAGTATGCACGATGTTCATAAACGTCCCAGCTCCATTTTGTGGCCAGGATTTCGAACGTGAGATCTCTTGTTTTGAACAATCTGGAAAATCTTTTCTTCCGCGCATTGAGACTAATGATAAGACGGATAGTCCCCCTACTATCAGCTCTGTCAGATAATCTGAGTCACTCAACTCGACATCGACAGCTTGTCTTAAGAATACATATAAAGAAAGTATCAAATTACCGTTAAATTGAACTTGCAACATTTAATAAACATTAAATTTATCCTCTCTCTTACGTACAACAATACACCCAAGTGCTGCAAAGTCATACCTTCACTGTATGATTCTATTATCTATAAAGTCACCGGCCCATCATTGTTTAACAGTGTTAGATTTCAAAAATGTTTAAGGACGTTACGATGTATGCATTAGCTGCTAATATCTCGCAACTTGAGCAAACCACAAGGAAGTAGAGAAAAAAACAATATAACATTTAAAAACGTTTACATTTTTTTTTTTTTTTATAGAATGGC